GACCCCGGTCCTAGCAGCTAAAGGCATGGACGTAAAACTTTGGGGCACCCGTCGGCCTTCCCTAGGCCACCCGCTGTGGAGGAACCTTGCGTTCTAGCAGTTGAAGTCTCGGGTGTATAACACACACACACCATGCACTGCCCTGACCATCAGCTGACACCATGGAACCTAGAATTGGTCTTGGACACCTTAACGTGTTCACCATTTGAGCCCTTGGACACATGCGATTTCGGTATCTTAACCATGAAGGTTCTGTTCCTCTTAGTGATCACATCGGCTCACAGAATGGGAGAACTAGCGGCCCTTGCGGCTGTTCCCCCCTTTCCCATATTTACAGCACAGAGAGTCATTCTACATCCCCAACCTTCATTTTTGCCCAAGGTTAACTCCTCCTTTCATATAAATGAACCCATTATTCTTCCTATCTTTTATCCAAAGCCACATTCCTCGGAGTGTCAAGCAAGACTGCACTCCCTTGATGTACGCAGGGCCTTGGCCTTTTACATCGAAAGAACTCACAATCAGCGGAAGTCCTAACATCTATTAGTTTCACTGTATGACCATTCCAAGGGTCGCCCACAGTGTGCACAATGAATTCCAAAAATAATAGTTTCCTGCATCCTACATTGCTCTGAATTAAGGAACAAGCCATTTCCACACACAATAAGGGCCCACTCTACTAGGGCAATGGCGTCTTCGGCAGCTATCCTAAGGGGAGTTCCCCTAAAAGACATTTGTTGAGTGGCCACTTGGTTGTCGGACCTCACATTCACAAAACACTATGCACTATCAAACATACTTATGACTGATGCAGCAGTAGCCACTGCAGTTCTTTCCACGGCGGCAACTCATTGACTCCGAACCTGCCACCTTCACTCCGGCTAATGCTGTGGAATCACCCACAGTGAAGCACCCAAGGGACACTCCCCGAAGAAGAAGAAGTTACTCACCTTGTGCAGTAACAATGGTTCTTCGAGATGTATGTCCCCGAGGGTGCTCCACAACCCGCCCTCCTCCCCTCTTCAGAGTCTGTTGTTTATGTCTTCTAGGCTTCGACGATCAGGAGGAACTGGCGGAGCCGGACTGCGCGACCAGAAACAGCATGAAAAGCCGCAAGATGGCCACCGTGCTTGCGTGGTCCAGCAGACAATGGCTAAAACATCTCTGATCTGTGGTGCTGGGACAAGCCTGACACCCACAGTGGAGCACCCACGGAGGGACACACCTCGAAGAACCATCGTTACTGCACAAGGTGAGTAACTTCTTCTTTTTTTGCTCACCTTTAGTTGACTGGTTGAATTCATAGGCAGATACAAATCTCAGAGTTTTGAAGGAGTCAGGAAGAGACATGAGGCTGGAAACTGGGAGGATTTCTGGCAGATAGGTGGTCTTTTCTTGAATGAGTCCTGAGTCAGTGTGTTGTGCTTCCCAATTGCCTCCCCAGCATATATTCCTTAATCACGTTACCACCCAGATATTGTTCCTCAGCCCTAATCAAGAGCATGAGGCAGGTGTAATACAACAGTATGGTCACGAAGTTTAGGGTAAGACCTTGTGATGTGGAGAAAAGACATACCCACACAGAGATACCTCTCCTATGCACTTAAGACTTCTGCCACTGAGGAAAGAGCAGATTTCACTTCAGTTGCATGCTTTTTGTTGCTTCGTTTTCTCTCGCCCCATTAAACATTATTTTTGCACTGAAATGGATGCCACAGTTTTTGGGACAAATGAAGACTTGAAGGTTTTTGTATTGTAGAAAGAAGGGAGAAATGGTGTCCATTGAAAAGGGAAAGGAGAAGGGAGTCACATAGACAAGGGCCATTTCTATTGCCCTTTGAGTTATAAACTGCAACAGTGGGGAATATTTGTCCGATATACATAGCAGGTGGACACTGTTGGCACATGATGGAATAAATTATATTTTTGGATGAACAGGAATATGTGTTCTTGATCTTGTAACTTACGTGGTTAGGTCCAATGCTGGTGTCAGCAGAGTAAATATGTGGACAAAGCTGGCAACGGGGTTTGTTGCAAGGGAAGGTACCAGGGTTGGTATTAGTGTGGTATGTCATGTGGTTGTTGGCAAGAATCATCTTGAGGTTAGGTGGTTGTCTATAGGAGACTATGGGTCTGTCTCCCAGAGCCTCTCGGCGTGTAATATCCTGTTCCAGTATAGGTTGTAGGTTATTGATAATGTGTTGGACGGGCTTAAGTTGGGGGCTGTAGGTGATGACAAGTGGTGTTCTATTGTTGGTTTTCTTGGGTCTGTCTTGAAGTAGATGGTTTCTGGGTATTCATAGTATTGTTCAGAGGAGGAGGCACAGTCAGAAGTGATGTATGAGTCTATTCCTATTTAATGCTCAGTTAATCTTTAGTGAAGCCAACCTGTGCACCAAATGAGGCACAGGTGGAAGGAGGAAGCTTTACTCAGATACATCTTAGGAATGGGAAGAAAAACTCCAAATGGGCAATAGGAAGGAGGCCCATTGTCTGTGCTGCAGGATGGTCACACAGGGTATGTCTACACTACCACCCTAGTTCGAACTAGGGTGGTTAATGTAGGCAACCGAAGTTGCAAATGAAGCCCGGGATTTGAATTTCCCAGGCTTCATTTGCATCTTGCCAGGCACCGCCATTTTTAAATCCCCGCTAGTTCAGCCTCCATGCCCGCGGCTACACGCGGCACGGAGTAGGTAGTTCAGATTAGGCTTCCTATTCACCTCGCTCCTACTCCGTGCCGCGTGTAGCCGCGGGAACGGAGTCCGAACTAGCGGGGATTTAAAAATGGCAGCGCCTGGCAAGATGCAAATGAAGCCTGGGAAATTCAAATCCCGGGCTTCATTTGCAACTTTGGTTGCCTACATTAACCACCCTAGTTCGAACTAGGGTGGTTGTGTAGACATACCCACACAGAGATACCTCTCCTATGCACTTAAGACTTCTGCCACTGAGGAAAGAGCAGATTTCACTTCAGTTGCATGCTTTTTGTTGCTTCGTTTTCTCTCGCCCCATTAAACATTATTTTTGCACTGAAATGGATGCCACAGTTTTTGGGACAAATGAAGACTTGAAGGTTTTTGTATTGTAGAAAGAAGGGAGAAATGGTGTCCATTGAAAAGGGAAAGGAGAAGGGAGTCACATAGACAAGGGCCATTTCTATTGCCCTTTGAGTTATAAACTGCAACAGTGGGGAATATTTGTCCGATATACATAGCAGGTGGACACTGTTGGCACATGATGGAATAAATTATATTTTTGGATGAACAGGAATATGTGTTCTTGATCTTGTAACTTACGTGGTTAGGTCCAATGCTGGTGTCAGCAGAGTAAATATGTGGACAAAGCTGGCAACGGGGTTTGTTGCAAGGGAAGGTACCAGGGTTGGTATTAGTGTGGTATGTCATGTGGTTGTTGGCAAGAATCATCTTGAGGTTAGGTGGTTGTCTATAGGAGACTATGGGTCTGTCTCCCAGAGCCTCTCGGCGTGTAATATCCTGTTCCAGTATAGGTTGTAGGTTATTGATAATGTGTTGGACGGGCTTAAGTTGGGGGCTGTAGGTGATGACAAGTGGTGTTCTATTGTTGGTTTTCTTGGGTCTGTCTTGAAGTAGATGGTTTCTGGGTATTCATCTGGCTCTTTCAATTCATCCCTAATATCATTATCTCATAGACACTAGCCTCCTCCCCACCCCACCTCCTCTGTTCTAAAATCTGATTTGTCAATTTTGTGTGTGTTCACTTTTTTTTAATTGTATCCTTTTGGTATATATGGTCATGCCAATTTTCTTCCACAATTTGATCTGAGGAAGTGGGTCTAGCCCAGGAAAGCTCATCATCTAATAAACCATTTTGTTAGTCTTTATATGGTCATGCCAATTTTCTTCCACAATTTGATCTGAGGAAGTGGGTCTAGCCCAGGAAAGCTCATCATCTAATAAACCATTTTGTTAGTCTTTATATGGTCATGCCAATTTTCTTCCACAATTTGATCTGAGGAAGTGGGTCTAGCCCAGGAAAGCTCATCATCTAATAAACCATTTTGTTAGTCTTTATATGGTCATGCCAATTTTCTTCCACAATTTGATCTGAGGAAGTGGGTCTAGCCCAGGAAACTTCATCATCTAATAAACCATCTTGTTAGTCTTTAAAGTGCTGCATAGTCCTGTCTTTTGACCAAGCAGAATGGAAGTGATAAGCTAGTGACAATCTCAGCCAAGTTGGGCACTAGCAGCTAGGATTTCTTCTCTGCATATAAATGTGAAGCCATTAGTGGTACTCCTATGAGGTCACTGTTTCTTGGGAGTGACAACCATTCCATTTAAAAGAATCCTTAACAATATAATACAATCTTGAATGACACTTTCATACCAACTCACAAACATGGAGGCTGACAAGGTGTGGCATGGGACAGTGCCATTTGCACACCAGGTTTTTTATGCCAATACACAAACATTTTGAATATTATCCTAGCCAAAAAGTTTGGTGTAGGGGCCAGCTGCCAAGCTTTTTGATTTTTTGTGTTACAGACCTCATCTTATGGACCTGGAATTTGCCAAACTCTGTTGGAGATGAAATGCTTTTTGAATTCCCTTGCCAGAAAAATATTATTCACTGAATCACCCCACATTGCCAAAATTTCATATTAGATATTGGACAGTATTTATGATACTAAGCAGTTCTTTAACGTCAGTTGGGATTAACTGTACGGTTGGCCAGGGAAAAAAGTACATTTCTGTTCAGCAATAAAGTTTGAGATTTCAAAAGTTGTTTGTCCCATTGTGAAAAGAAACCACGACCTTGTGATTTTTTTTTTGTAAAAAATGTGTGAGAGAAAGCAGAAACACACACCACACATCCACCCAGCCAAGCCAATAGCCAAGATGTGAGAGCACTCACCTAGAAGTGGGGCAAATGTGGGGTAGTGTCATGTTCTCATGTTCTGAAACAGGCAAAAAATCTTTTTAATCTTTAAGTGAATTATGTCCATATAAACAAAATTTAAAAATCCAAAAGTGCTATAAAAGTGTATAAATAGTCATGAGGAGAATTGGAAAAGAGCAGGTATCAGATCTGTGTAGGATAGCTGTTTGGCTTTTCTAATCCTGTGGTACACCTCTAGGTGGTGCAGGTGAGTTTCCACAGAAAGAAAGCACCTTTTTCGTTCACTGTAGTTTTCAAAATTTTAAAGCCAGAGAGAAAGCAGCAAAAGAAAAGTTATTGGGAAGTCCTCTGAGATAGCAAGTATGTAGAGAGCTGACAGCAGACCATTAGTACTGCACCTCGGCACACTGGAATAAATCAGTGGACTCTGTGAAGGATGCAACATCTGTCCGAGAGCGACTCTTGCCACCTGTGAAAATCTTTTGCCTTATTTGGATTTCTAGAGCTTTATTCCCAGACTGATCTTGTGCGGATTTTTGTTTTGTTATTTATATCTGCATCAGGTAAGATTTTGTATACTACATTTTATCTCTCTCTTTAAAAACTAGATATTGTTCCAAGGCAAAAATGCAACTGTAATGGGATACAAATTAAGAAACACTTCTGAAAAGCATGTCGTAATTAGGGTTAGTTTGAACAAGCACTACCTTTCAGCATGCATCTTTGCTTAGGGCATTAATGCTAAAGATCTTTTGTTATTTCTGCACACATTACAAAGTAAACTGAATGATGAGCTGCACATTTAATTAAAGAATTAAACTTTTTTCAGATATGTTGTTTAGTGAAAGTACCAATACTCCCATTAGCCAAAAAACTTCTTTGGAAGTGTTCAGCATAATGTGACTTCATTTGAGAGGAAGAATACTTTGGATTTTATTTCACCACCCAGCATACAAATGTAACCTCTACACCTTGCCTTATTGCTATACCATTCTGAACAAAGAATGTTACTACAAGATTTCAGTGCACCAGCTGGGGGATGAGGCTGAATGAATGTGAGTAATTAGGTACCTGCAAATTCAAGTTTAGGAGCATGCCGAGTTTTGTTTCCAGCAGAGAGGTTTCTCAGCCCTGATATAGGAGAACACTGTGGAGCCCAAGTCTTGAACAGAAGAGCAAATTATGGTGCTTTACCAGACCCTTGAGTGTACAGTTTAGCATGAACTTTGAAAATACAAGGGAACTTTTGTATGCTAAAAGGAAAATTGATTTTAATTTTTGCAGACTCCAGATCATCAGAAGTTGCACAAACAGCTGCTGAATATAATTTGTGTTCCAGGTTCTGTGAGATAATGGGCACAGTTCTCAGTTGATGTAAATTAGTGTCACTCCATACAAATCATTGGAGTTACATCAATTTATACCACTGAAGTGAATTTAGCTGTGTTCATCTGCTGCAGCAGGGGAGTTGACTAGGAGCATCGATTTTTATGCGTAAGAAAAAGTACAATACCAGGACTTAATCTTATAATTGTCACTCCCTAGAATAAGAGTTGATGAACTGGGCCTAGTGGTTCTAGTCCCCCTACTCTCCAAAAGAAGATAGTGATGGATGTTGCAGTATCCAGTTATAAATCTGGAAATAGGTCCATGTCAGAAATATTGCTGGGGCCAGACCATGGAATACCATAACATTAAGAAAGGACATTAGCTTTACTGGACAAAAGGAAGTTAGTTCAAATGATTAAGATCAGGTGTATTCAATTTCTCTTTCTTGACTGTCAATGTAATTCAAAAGCAACTTTGGATTTGGAATACTGTGTTTAAGAATGCCACCAAGAAGAAAAATTATTAAATGTTAATGTATTTAATTATTCCCTTAGGACATGTACATTTACACTTGAGAGTACGTAGGCAAATAAATTACTTTTTGGCAGCAGTCTGTTTGGCTCCAAACTGTGCTCAACAGGTCAAATTCTGAGTTAAACTGATGTAAATCAGAATAATTCTTCTGATTCTGGTTTAATGTAGATCAGAATTTGGTCCATATATTTTTCCATGGGCATACAATGTGGTTGTTATTTACCATAAAACACTGACATCTGCAGGGGAATCAAAAGAGGCTATGGCCAACAAACTCCACTGGGTTTTCTCTTTGTAGAAGGTGGAAAAATCTTTCCATAAATGTATTGGATTTTTTTAAAAAATGGATAGATAAATGAACTCTTTATTTTAATATCAGTTAGTGAGAGATGATGTTCTCTATCAGAGACTCACACTATATTATTTGAAGCAGATGTCAGAACAAATACAGGGTCAAATAGTTGTACCATGAGGATACACACATTCTTTCTGAGAATTACTTCATTTAAATAAGGGTATACGTTTTACATTTATGTTTGACACTGCCAGGAGGATGTGAATATTCTAAAATAGACCATGGCTTTTAACTGAACCATGAATATGTAAATTATCCAAATTTCGCTTTTGAAAAAAACAACAGAATATTCTTTCATAAGTGAGACAACAAGTGAAGATAATATTTTTCTTGTTTTGACATCCTTAGAGTCTTTTTCCCTTCTAATATTTTCAGTAGACAATTTTCCTTTAACCAAGCCAGGTCGGAATTGGGATTCAGATTATAGCTTTGTTGCTCCTTTGATCAGTTAAAATGTTAAGAAATAGGAACATGAGCTATTACTTATAGCTGAATGAACACTCAGAGTACATCTATTCTGCAGGGCAAAAGTCAAATTAAGTTATGCGACTTCAGCTGTGTCAATTGCGTAGCTGAAATCGAAATAGCTTACTTTGGGTTTTAGCGCTGTCTACACAGCAGGAAGTCGAAGGAAGAGCACTCCTCCTTCCACTTCCCTTACTCCTTGTGAAATGAGAGTTCAGGAGTTGGAGTAAGAAGTCCTCCATCTCGACATTATTTTGAAATAATGGCTTGCTGTGTAGATGCACTCTTTGTTATTTTAGAATAATGTCAGTTATTCTGAAATGCAGTGTTCCCCATAAGCTGTGTGTGGCTGTGCAGCCACTCAGGAGAGAGTCAAATGCTACTCAGCTAATTAACAAAGTGTCCAAAGCTAGGTTTTTATGCTTTTACTGGTGGGGCACATTCACACATGCCTCATTGCACATAACAGTTATTCCACGCATGGATGGAAAAAATCTGCACATGGATGGAAAAAATTAGAATTCCATTTTGTACTAAATGCTTAATTATTCATTGGGCCAGAGTGACTGAGTGACTGGATATCCTACTGGCTAGCATGCCCACACCTGGGGAAACAGGCTCCAGGTCCTGGTACAATGACAATGTCAGTATTTTATACACAGTACAACAGCTTTAGCAGGACAGTTGACGAGTCTCATATCAGAATGTTATGTCGTGGGGAGTTTCACAGTACAGGAAGAAATCAGTGGAAAGGCAGAAAGCTTGAGTAGCTGCAGGTGTCCATTTTATTGCATAGCACAGAACTCACTAGCACAAGCCCAGACTAGCTGGGCTGACCCCAGTGACCTACTCAGTTACTATAACAACAAGATCTATATCTACAACCCAAACCACAACACAGAATACTTGATAACTAAGTTAATAATGCCCCATGCCCCAGTGGTGAGCAGACCAGGCTTCAAATCCCTGCGCCCGGGTCTCCCACATACAAGGAGTACCCTAAGCACCTGGCCATTGCACACAAATGTGGCTCCTGTTCCTTCCTGTTTAGTGTGGGGCCCAATCTGGTAGTTATATTTTTAGGTGTTGCCAAGCAAACCTATGAGATCAGGCCCGATAGATGGGGGAAAGCTTAGGTTGTCAATCCCACTGTAGTTTAGGCATAAATTAGGTGCTGAGCAGCTCAATGGTGTCAGGACTTAGGTAGTTATGTGCTTCACCAGTGGCAGAACATAGGTGCCCAGCAGAGTTTACCAGTGGAAATGTAGGGCTTGTCTGCATGAAGCCAGAGTATTTTCTATAGGTGTAAACCCTGCCAGTGTGCACTAAAAGGTGTCTAGCTAACATACACCAGCAGAGTGTACATGGAGCAGTCAAAGCAAACACGTTAGAGTACACTGCCATTCACATCTTCACAGTATGGACTATGGCACCATGCAGACAAACCCATAGGTACCTACGGACTGTAGGCATCTACAGAACTAGGCGGCGGCTGACCAGTGGATTTAGGCACCTAACCTGGCAGATACACATGTAAGTCCCACTAGTGAATCTAACCCAAAGAGTGAAACTCTAGCCCTGCTTCCATTGACTTCAGTGGGGCCAGGGTTTTACTCCAAGGCTATGTCTAGACTGCCTCCTCTTGTGCAAAGAATATGCAAATGAGGCAAAGCATGGCATATTGCCGTGCCTCATTTGCATAATTAATTAGCTCCATTTTTGTGTAAGAGGCTTTTGCACAAAAAGGATCCATCTACATGTCTCCTTTTTGTGCGAAAGTCCCCTCTTGCACAAGAGCCATTCTTCCTCTTTTTTTCCATGAAGAACGGCTCTTACGCAAGAGGGGGTTTTGTGCAAAAAGGAGCTCCTTTTTGCGCAAAACCATTTTCACAAAAACAGAGCCTCGTTAATTATGCAAATGAGGTGTGGTGATATTCCATGCTTTGCCTCATTTGCATATGTTTTTGCGCAAGAGGAGGCAGTCTAGACATAGTCCAAATGCTTTGCGTCCTTCTCACTGGCTGCAAGGCAATAAAAAGCCAAACTCTTGACAGAACTCTGTTAACTTCCACTGGTAACTCTCCTGCCCAGATGTCTTGTGGCACAATAATGTGCTTTATAAGTTGAAATTGTGAGGTAAAAGCAGACATGTTTCAGTTTGCTTCCAAACAGGAAACTCTGAGTATAATGGTAGGGGAAAATGCTATTTTCAAATTTCTAAGAGGGTATATTACAAATTATGAACAAAAGGCTAACAAAGACTATTTTAAAGTATTATCAGATATCACATTTTTAAGACACTGTCTGACGTTTTCTTTAAGGGATTTGGCTTTCAGAATCTCTGTAAAGAGGTGGGCACACATCCCCCACATTGATGCTTGTGACTGCCACTTTTTGAACTTGTCATAAAATAGAGTTTTTTATGTTAGCTTAGAACTCAGTCCATTTATCCCTTCAGCTATTTATTTCTATGGGGTCTATAGGACAGCCCATTACCGTAGTATTTGATCACCTTACGTGTCAAATTAACAGCAACAGCAAAATCTTGAGTCGCCTTCTTGGATTCTTTGGTATGTCTCCTTTTTTTAAGAGTGAAAACTCTGCTTGGGATTGGATTTTTGGTTAGGACTTTTCAGGTGTTTTTAGTTTCCTTTTTTGGTTGGTAAAGGATTAGATAGAAGAGGGAATCAGTGTTGTGCCATTCTTCTGATGGAAAGACCTTTTCAAAGAGGAAGGTTCTCCAGTGTTTCCTAAAAATTCTGGATTCTGATCTCCTCTGGAAATAACTGGAGCTCCCTTTTCAGTATTGAGGGGGAGGGGACATAGAAGAGAAGAGGATTCTAGTGTCCTAGCATCTGCCTCACAGCAGACCCAAAGAAGGTCAATATTCTTCTGCGCAGTCTAGGTTAGCAACAGCTGAGTCATGTGTGATGTGGCTCTCATCCAGCATACCTCACACGTCATGAGAATGATGTTGATGAGCCCAAACACCACAGAGCTGGTACAGCAGCACCTGTGATAAGGGCTTGAGGAACTTTCTAAAGAATACTTTCGGGGTAGGGTGTGAGGGGGAGGTGCCCACTGGGGCTGTAAATTGATTTTTTGAGGGGTCCTAAAATTGTGATGGATACAGACCTAATTTAGTCTTAGTCTCTCTCTCTCTCTCTATATATATATATATACACACAAATTTTTCCTGCAGGATGACAGGGTGATGTCACCATGTCACTCCATGTCTATAGGACCCAACCCCCATCCACTACCAGCCTGGCCCTTCCCAGGGCCCAAATGGAAAGCTGGGGCTGCCTGTGGCCCAGCCCTTCCCGTCCTCTCCCCTTTCCAGTAGCCAGGGGGAGAGCTGTAGTGGCCACAGTCTCGGCCCAGCCCTCTCCAGCGGTGGGGGGTGAAGAGGGGAGAGATGGGCCCACTGTGGCTTCAGCCCGACCCCTCCTGGCATCCGATCTCCTGAGGTCAACCTTGCCCTGTCCCCCGTCCCCACCAGCTGGTGGAGGGGGGGAAGCAAAGAGTTGGGGCTGGGGAGTGTAAGAGGCCAGAGGTGCCTAAGAGCCAGGGCAGCCTTGGGGCTGGGCCCTCCCCAGCAACTGGGGACAGCGGGGAAAAGCCAGTGCCAGAGTGACCTTGGATCCTCCCTGGCGGGGGGTGGGAGGAAGAGCAATGGCCTTGCCCTGGCCCCTCTCAGGGGCCGGGGAGATAGCCAGGCCCAGTACAGCTTTTGCCCATCCCTTCCTCCCTCCCCCGGTGGCTGGGGGAGAGCCAGGTGGGACTTCACACTGGCCCCTCACCCTGGTGGCTGGGGAGCAAAAAGCTGGGGCAGAGAGGGGGGCAAAAGTTAGGGTGGCCTTGGGGCAGGCTCTCCCTGGCAACCAAGACAACGGGAGAAGAGCTGGGGCCAGAGCGGCCTTGGACCCTCCCCAGCGGCAGAGTTGGGGGAAGAGCTGAGGACTGGGTGGCATCAGCCCTGGGTCCTCCTCAGCTGAGAGGGGGGCTGGTGAGCATAGCAAGCAGGGGGCACAGCCCCCTAGTGACTCAAACTTCTGATAATACACAATGCACATTTTTCCTTTTAATTGTATATAGATTCCACTGTCTGGGTAATGTAATAGGATGAGCTGTGCTATTATAACTTACTAGGTGATAAATAAGCGTTCCACAAAGACTGGCTTCTGTAACTAGAGGACATGACCTACAAATGCACTCTGCATCAAAATCAAGCCTCCTGGTGGAAAGAAGGAAGAGCAAACAGAGAATTTCAGACAGAATGAGGATGAAATTGATGGACTCTTAAAAAGCAACGGGCATTAGACTAGTGTTTCCTCTTGTCAGAAATAGTTACTGTATGCCCTAAAACACAGGACCATTATTCATCTTAAAAAAAATTTAGAATGGGATTTGCAAAAGCATTTAACCTTGGCCTAACCCTATTCCTATTGAAGTCAACATTTTTATCACTGACTTCAATGAGAGCAGAGTTAGGGCAATGCTAAAATTTTTGAAAACCTTACCCTTTAAGTATAACTGCAGGAATACTGAGAGGAGACCAGGAACACCTCATCTTTGTGTGACTTGAAATTTTGCCACTCCCTTTTCTTCACTTTTAGTTAGGGGGGTGATTCATCGGTACAAGATTTCCCATTTCCAAAAAAAAAAAAAAAAAGGAGGTGGCCCCAGTTGGGTGGAAAAGTCAGAACTAAAGTCTCTGAACATCACAAGGCATATTTATTTCATATTGTTCAAATGCAATTTTCCTTTGAAAAGTGCTTTCATTTCAGTTTCAGTGCAGAAAAAGGATACGCAAGTATATTGTCAGTTAAGGAGAGTGTGTGTGTAAAGTCTGATAATTTTGCACCTGTCACTGTTTCACCTGCACTCTGCCCACTAATCCATCTCCATCAGAACAACCTCAGACTAAAAATGTAAGTCTTAATCTAGTGGAAAAGGAAAAGTCCCAGATTTCCAGCAGGATGCCCCGCAATTGCTTCTAGCCATAACAAATAGGTCCTGAAATATCACACATAGCTGTATAGAGATATACTTTATAATTTTAAGAAGTCTCTAATATTTACTTATTTTTTTCTCTCCAAGTCCTGTGCAGGCAGATTCCCGGCAGTTAAGTGAGCCAAGCTTTGTTGGCAGAGGAATCTGGAAAATAGCAAAAAAGAAATAAATATCTAAAAATATTTCCAAAATAGATTTTTTTTTCCTGTCAACTGAGTGGCATATGCAGAGATACAGAACTTCTCGGCACACAATTGGAAGGATGTACAGAACACATTCGTAGCTTCTCTACTCATGAGGGGTATGGTTTTCCCAGACTGATAATATGCTTAATGGCCCACTGAGTGTTCTCTGTCTCTCTCTTCACATAGGCACACTGAATGTGTCCTTAAACTCATTCTAGCAGGAATTTATATTTAGTTTTTCCTTGAACTACTTTTCTTTACTTATTCAGGTGAAACTTCCATTGATCTCAGTGGGAGATTTGCCTGCAGAGAGAGTGAAAGATTTGGCCCTTTGGGAGTAACTATGCCTTTTTCTATTATTTTGTCTCCTAGCATGATCGATTTCTTTAATAAATGGTTGCAACCAGCACCCTTTGTTTTCTAATAGAGATTAAGTTACATATTTTGTGAAGCTGAGCCAGAGGCACAGCTCTTGTTAGCTAAAAATGGGAGTTGTTAAGTGGATTTGGACCTAAAATGCAAGTAGATCAGTCTCATCTTTTTGTTGTAGCTAATGAACACATTATACCTGACTGAAATAACTTAACCTAAAGGGCAAAAAATAGTTATGTATCGGAAGCTTTGAGATGGGCTCGAAGGTAAAAACCCCCCATCACTTCTAAAATAAGATTAAAGCAATTAAAGGATAAGGCTCATACTTAATTTTCTTCCATAGATGCAATTTTTCAAGCAGTGACAGCACCAAACCCTTTTCAAGTTATATAGCTATTTCACATTTGGCAGAAAGAACAGGAAACCATCTGTAGCAAACCAGAACTGTTGTAAACATATTTAGCAATAAAAAAGATTAAAAGAAATAAAATGTTAACTTTAAATGGTACCTTTGAAGATGCGAGGAGCAGGAGGCAAGGATTTAGTGTTCTTTTTTACCTACTAGAAACATATCTACTGAGTTCTAGAATAGGCAATGACGACTTGAAAAAGTTGAATATTTCAGCAGAAGGAATGTAAAGTACCAGGAATGAAATGAGGGATTTTTTTGTCTTTTTTTTCTTGCTTTCTGTGATATAAGTTGTTATATAGATGTGTGGGATATGTTATGATTCAGTTTTCTGTACACTGACTGATCCAGCAAAGCATACAAATACTCAGATAATGTGAGAAGTCCCCTAGAAACCAATGGAACTACCCATGCTTGTAAATTTTTCTGGCTTAGGAGCTGTACTTTTAACTGTAAGGAACCTCCCTCTCTAAGTTTTGCAGGGACAGTGCACTGTATGAAAGATAAGGGTCTTGCCACACTGTCATCTCTCATGAAGATTTAGATTTGTTCTTTCGTTGTTCTTTTCCATATGCTCATTGGAGCTATCCAGACTGAAATAATCAACTTTTTGCTCTTTGTGTATGAACAATGCAAAAGTATTCTTTCGCTATAGAGTAATTAAAAAAGCCTGAGAGATGTGCTGAGATCAGTGGAGTTTGCCGGTATTCAGCAGCTTGCCCCATACTGTTCTGCACTCTATGGTGCATTGATATGTAAGTGGTACTAAAATTGCTAAAAAAAAATTGATAATGACAACAAACCAATTATCAAACAGGAGAGCTAATCGAAAAATGAAACAACACAGTCACAAAATTGTTCTTGAAATATTTATTAAAATGAGTTGAAATTTCAGAGTTTGATTACAGTCTCAGAAATAAATTAATTTTGTAATTTTTATATTAATGGAAGTTTCTCAAATGGCTCCAGAACAATATACATGAATCTAATTTTAGAGGATAACATTTCTGGCTACCAAAACCTAAAGATGTCATGGGTTCCGTAATCTCTTTTCATTACTAATGTCTGAATAAATTGCAGTCAGACGCCCAGTTTTTCCAGCTTCAGGACAGATTGTGGTTTTGTTTCTTTTCTTTTTTTTTTTTTAATAAGTGCCAGGCTGATGAGACATTAAAGGTTTCTTTCCAACAGTATGAATGTTGGGTGGCTCCTACCTCCCACACTGCCCAATCTGGTCTGCCTCCCCACCATCAACCACTGAATTTACATATCTCCATTATTTCTTTGCATCTATCAACTTGTGCGGCCATTAAGATGGGAATGAAAGAAGAACAAAAGCAGCACAATGGTAAGAGAAGACATCACAATACTCTCACCTCATAAATCTAAGTAACTTGGAATCTCCCATAAGAGAAAATTGTACCAGGTATAGCTGAGGGTTAGTAATCTCATATACAAGGTTAGTTGGTCCGTAGCAGTTGTAACAGTGAGACTATCATAGTACTGATGGAAGTCCATTTGAAAAGGATTCATACCTGTGGTATTTTGATTTGAAATGATGTAAAATAATATTGGTTAGAAAGTTTTTGTGAAGCATTTTTGTGCCAGTTCATTGTTAGTATTGCGATAAGTTTACATGTAGCAAGCTGGTGATATTATTGTCTTCTTTGGAGGTGAAAGCAATTTCCATTTTAAATTCAATTTTATAGTATATATAAATAAAGTTGATGTGTGCTTGCATATACCGAACATAATATATAAACATATACTTCTGCTTTAGGTGAACTTAGTGTATTTTTGTTAACCCAATTATTCCTTTCATATGTATTTATACATTAAAGTGTTTCATAGACTGAAATGTAAGTGACAAAGTTTTACTTAAAGAAACTTTTAATACCACAAAACAAGAAGGGCTTGAGCAATGTCTAAATGTACTGCACATAAATGTGTGTTTTTCTACATGTAACTCTCAGTGTTAAAACATAAATAAAGAGGTACAATTAAAGAGGGAGGTAACCCTTGTAAATTTTCCTCTAACCCCTTTCAAAACAAAAAAATCTGGAAAGACTACAGTTGCCCATTACGACTGACATATGGTCCTTGATTTCATGGAAAACTGTCTCCAATTCTGTTAACTACAGAAGCTAATTTTAATATAGTGGATCTAATATTTTTTGCTTATTGTCAGATTAGTTGCACAGGTTAGTAAGATGGATGAAAGCTGATACATTCTGAATATTATTTTTAATTACAAAGAGGTTCTCTCTCTAACCTTTTCCCCTCCCCCCCTCACTTATATACAAGTCAAACATATATTCTCAACAGGAAATTAGAGACACGTGTATTGCACCTATCACAATCAGGGGACTGATGGGGCCTCTAGGTCAGGAGTGGGCAAACTATGGGCTATGGACGGAGTCTGGCCCATCAGACCTTTTTACTCTGGCCTTTGACTTCCCACTGGAGAGCGGGGTGGGGGGCTTACTTTGCTCCACATGTGCTGTGGCTCCTCACAACTCCTGGAAGCAAGGATAGCCAGGGGGCTCTGCAAACCCTGCCCCCTAGCCTAAGTATGAGTTCTGCAGCTCCCATTGGCCAGGCACCACAACTTACAGGAGCTGTGGAGGCAGCACGTAGCTTTGTCTCTGTATAGCAAGAGTGGGAACAAGCCACTATGTCCAGGAGCTGCTTAACTTAAGCACCACCCGAAACTTGCACCCATGAGCCCCTCCGAAGCTCCAACTCACTTTTCCTGTCCTGATTCCCCTCCCACCCTCTGAACCCCTTCATACCAGCCTGGCACACACTCCTGCACTTCAAACCCCACATCCCAGTCTTACCCAAGAGCTCGTACCTCCAACCAAATCCTACACCCTCCCACTGCACCCCAACAGCCTGTCTCATCCTCATCCCCCTCCTGTCCTCAAAACCCCTTGATCCCAGCCTCGTTTACCTTCCAGCATCCCAATCCCCATCATCCCTGGCCCCACCCTAGAATCAGAACTTCCATCCAGAACCCTGACTCCCTTCCCACACTCTATTCCCAATATTGTGAGTATTCATGACCCTCCATACAATTTCCATATCCTGATGTGGCCCTCAGGCCAAAAAGTTTGCTCACCCCTACATTAGAGTGTGATAACAATGAATTATTTATAGGTGCTTTAGGTGCTAAGAAAATACAAATAAGTAATAATAATAAAAGACAGTGCGTTGCAGGTGCAATTCCCCTGCCATTGCAGGATTGTCTGCCACAGAATATTTGATAGAACTTTGTCCTGTCTAGATTGTTAGGTCTGGCTGAAAAGTGGAAATACACATATACACACAAAGTTAGAATTCTGGAGGCTTAAGAAAAAGTAAGTGCACTCAACTTATATTACCTGTGCAAATCTGACATTGCCTCTTAATTAAATTGGCATAACAATATATAAAAGTCAAAATAACAACTGACTAGCAGATTATTGAAAAAGGAGTTGTTGAATGAAATCCTACATTTTAGTAACTTTAATTTTAGCTTCTTATAATTACCATAAATATATATAAGAAGAATATACCAGTAGAAGGTTGTAAAATTCCATTTCCTTATTAAGGGTATAATTTCCAATGTTTTATATACCTTTGACATAGAATACAATATAACTTAATAAAAAGTATGACATATTAGTTGTTAAACACAAACAAATGCGCCAACTATATAAACTTAAAAGTCCATATACATTTGATACATTGCAAATCCCTACTGATTTCCTGCTTCATTTATAAAAAGAATCACACTATTCCTTCAGTACATGGATTTAGAGGAAAATTTGCTAATGAATCCTGTGATTAAACTAATAGAGGAGTCTTTACTGCTTCTTCAGCTAAATAGCATATTTGTCTCTATATAGTCAACAATATTTATAATTATTTCAAAATACAAAAAGGGCATAGTTGAAGTTGGTGGAGAAAAATAGATTACTTTCAGTGATAAGTAGTGAAGAAGGAATGTGTGTCATGAGTGGAGTGGCTACATCTCATAATTGTTTGTTTCCAGACTTTCACATTTCTGAGGTGGAAGAATGAAAATGATAAAACATGTTGGCTGTGTCTACACTGGGCCACTTATTCCGGAAAATCAGCCGCTTTTCCGGAATAAGCTGCGAGCTGTCTACACTGGCCCTTGAATTTCCGGAAAAGCAACGATGCTCTACTGTACAAAATCAGCTGCTATTCCGGAAAAACTATTCTGCTCCCGCTCGGGCATAAGTCCTTATTCCGGAACACTGTTCCGGAAAAGGGCCAGTGTAGACAGCCCAGTAGTCTTTTCCGGAAAAAAGCCCCGATCACGAAAATGGCTATCGGGGCTCTTTTCCGGAAAAGCGCGTCTACATTGGCCACAGACGCTTTTCCGGAAAAAGGGCTTTTCCGGAAAAACAGCCTGCCAATGTAGACGCTCCTTTTCCGGAAAAACTGAAAATGGAATAGTATTCCATTTTAAGCATTTCCGGAAATTCATGCCAGTGTAGACACAGCCCCCATGTGCTGCAAGTAAACGGTGATATGCATTTTCACCCTATTTGGCTTTTAAGTTAGAGATTTTGCCACCTTTCCTCATGTAAACTAGTATCTTACTTCATATGTAGGCCACTTATTTCAATAGCTGGTATGACTCATTGGCCACATGGAAGATTGACACTCCAGAGGTTGATCTTCTGTCATTCGATTTAGTGGGTCTAGTATGGACCCATAAATCGAATTATGAGGGAAGCTCTGGCTGGTACCCAGTATGCCCTCTCTGTGGAGGGGGTGGAAACACGATGTATGATACATTGACTCCAGCTATGTAATTAATGTAGCTGAAGTTGCGTATCTTATTCTGTAGTGAAGACAGGCCATTGTGAATAAGGTTGGTAAAATTTGTCTTTGCATTTCTTGTTGACTGATCTTCTCTCTCTTAAAGAGCTTTGAATGTTATATTGTGTTCATATGTTTTGTATTTCTACAACCTGCTCCTGGATCTTTCTATCAGAGGGATGCCCATGTCAGCTGAACAGCTCTATTCATGTAGCAGTCTGAGGCCTTGTCTCCACTTACCAGGAGATCAGTGCTGCAGAGATCAATCTTTCAGGATCAGTTTAGCAGGTCTAATAAGGACCTGCTAAATCAACAACCGATCATGCCCCCTTCTACGCTGGTTTGCCATCAGGGTGCAAGGAGTAAGGGAAGTTGTTGGGAGAGTTTCTCCTGTTGAACTCCCCCTCCCCACTGTGGGGACAATGTAGAAATTTGAACTAAGGTATGTTGATTTTATTAATTCAAATTACCTTAGTTGGACTTTGCCCCCTAGTGTAGAAATGATTTGCTCCCGTGGCCCTCTGTAGGCCAGTTGAAGTTAGTCACATTTCCTTGAAATCTGAAGGATACATCATTTCAAGATGCTAGTAACAGGCTTGATGGTGCATTGCTTTTCATAAAGGGGTGTCTGAAGCCAATAAGTATTGATACAGCAGGTTTTTGGTTGTTTCCCATTATCTGCCCACAAAAAAAGTGCTAGCAGCATATCAAACAGCTTGTTAGCAACAGTCAAAATACCCTTGCCCCAGCACACATTGGTGTGTCTATCTTTGATGGAATTAATCATAACAGAAAGATAATTCATTTGCCAATACCTTCACTGTTATCATTAAAAGATAATTTATGGTTTTAATTAAATGTCACTTGCAGTCAGATGTGATATACAAATTTGGCATTGAGGTGCATACATGGATTTATGTAGCTCAAATACAAAGCAGAGCCAAGCCAGCAAAAATTCAGCCTGCAAAGTAACTCACATGAAAATATTACTAACTACAAAATGTTTTGTGCAGTGTTGTTACAGATGTGTTGATATTGGAGAGCCAAGGTAGTTGTGTACTTCACTCACCTTTTATGTACAAAATGCATTGCCATTTTAAACTCTT